CCGACGAGGCTCTGGCGCTGTTGGCCAAGCTGCAACCCCGATACCCGAAACCCATAAACCCCTAAACCCCAAGACCCCAAACCCCCAAACCCCTCAGCCCCAAAGCCTCTAAACCCCTAAACCCCTCAGCCCCTAAGCCCCTGAACCTGGAAGCCGCAAGGCCTGGCGCGTGGAGCATGACAACTCGGCGAAGTGGGACCCGAGGCTGGCCCGCTGTGGTTTTTTAGGGGGCTTTAGGGGGAGGAGGGTTCTTAGTGTTGAGGGTTTAGGAGGGTTTAGGGTTGAGGAGGGTCCTTAGGGTTGAGGGTTTAGGGTTGAGGAGGGTTCTTGGGGTTTGCATATAGTGGTAACTTCTAATTGGGTGACGTTGGGGGTGTCGGGTTTATAGCGGTTTAGAGTTGAGGGTTTGGGTGCTTCTGCGGGGTGGGGCTTTTGAATGTTATTGGCTGTGGTGGGACTTGGCATGGCTTTATGGGGTCACGCTGTGTTGAAATGCTCCTCCACCCGAGTGGTTGCACTGGGATTTTTGTCGTGGTACACGTATAGAGTCCAATATCCCGTCCATGAGTCCTTAAGAAAGAACAGTTGAACGGCTTCCCAGTCTCCGGACGTTGACAGACTCTCTGGAAAATTTCCCCGGCAGCAAAGGGCATGTGGATTTCAATCAGCTCGACGACAGGCAGGTAAGACCAGCCCAGTCGGACAGGAGGATGAGCGAATCTTGTACTTCAACTGTTTAGACTTGACCTCCTCTAGGTCGTATAAAGTTTAAAGAAAGCCTATACCCACAGGCCCTCAAGTAGTTCCTTTTGGTGTTCAGATATAGAATCCTATAAGCTAATCCAAAAAAGGAACTACTATAGGGCCTATGGATAAGCCCTGCTTTATGAGACCACGGAGCACGCAACGGTGCCCATCCCAACCCAGCCTCGCACCTCAGGAACCGCGCAAAGACGCGGAGCCCCGAGGCTGCGCGCGTGAGTACCTGTGGGGCTTTGAGTTTGGCAATGTCTCGCACTTTTGAGTTGCTGGCTGTATACTTGGGCAAATGTTTTGTTCGGCAGCTTTGTCTATGTTTGGGCGAACTGGCCCGGCCGGAAGTTCGTCATCCTAAGAGGTGGCAAGCTTTAGTAAATTGTAAACCTGCTCCTGGATGGCTTGGCAGCATCTACATCTGTGTCAGGAAGCAGAGCGAGTTCTTCGGCTGACGGGGAGGCGGCAGCATGGTAATCTGTAGATCGTGCTGAAGATGGGTTTGGGGTAGCGAAACTGCATGCTTCTAGATCCCTGAGTCTGGAAACGTTGAGGTCGCAAGAAATGTGGTTGTGCATACCGGAGCACTCGCAAATCGTGCTTGAAGCAGAACTCTATTCACAGCGAGACTCGCGAAACTCGCCAGTGGTAGTGCCTGGTGGCTGGTACTCCTTGCCGTCGCATCAAACGACATCGCCCAAGTTCTCAATGTTGCCTCCTCGAGATCTTCCTTCGTTTGGCTCCTTGCTTCTGGAACATCCCATTCGTGCAGTGGAACTCTGCTACAACCGTAGGAACTTTGCCTGTTCAATAGCAAGCTTGGAGCACGACCATTTCTCGCTGCACACAACGTTGAGTTCCTGCGACAATTTGAGATGCGCGTCCCCTTCCCAAGCTGTCTTGTAACGAGGATTCCGCGGCCCCTTCGCCTGAGTGATGTCAAGCGCGGCGCCCCACCCCTGAGGCGCTGACAGTTGTCTTGAGCTTGTGCCTGGTTCATCCTTGTTCCAAGTTCTCGGCGGTGGCATCGGTGAATAATACATATATAAGTCGTGCATAGTACGTAATTAAAAATAGGAATAAGTTATCCAGCCCAGGCTGCAAAACCATGATGCTATAGAGAGCAGGAGGCAGTTGCAAATAGCCACCAGAAGAAGCCCCCAAACAGCATATGTATAGTACACACATATATATATATAATATGTAAACATATATGTATTTAGATAGGTAGATCGATAGATGGATCGCTATGCACCCTCATCCGTTGCGTCTTGCCTTCTCCGGGTCCGAACCTTGCTGTCGAAAGGGTAGCGCCCCAAACCCTAAATCAGGAAGACCATCGTCGCCACTGCCAAGGCGCCACGTGCTGACATGGCTGGAGAGTTCCTTATAATAGTTATAGTATAATACACCTATTTTTGGGGTTCCTTTTGTTGGGGTTCCTTATTATAGTTATAGACAGTTGTCAGGTCTCAGGTTTAGGGTGAGTTCTTGCGGCACAGTGGGCTGGGCTTGATGGGTAATTGGTCCTGCTTGTGGGCCATATCCTGTGGAATTGCTTCTTCCCACGGGTGGGACATGTGTGGGTGCGTCCATCGCTCTCTCTCTCTCTCTCTCTCTCTCTCTAGCGAGTTTTTAGGCTATGTTTACCTACAGTGTTTTGTATGCGTGCTATTGATGATACAAGTATAAAGCCTCCTTGGCGGAAGCTCTGGGCCTTCGATGCTGTCAGGAGCGTCGCGCCGCCGCCGAGATGTGCGGGATCTACGCAGTGAGCAAGTGGCCCTGACTGCTTTTGAGCGCCAGCTTTTGGATGCTTTCACAGCCGTATGGCCTGTGCCCTCGTTTCTTAGCCTTCGTAAGACCCAAAGAGTCTAAGTACTTATATGGTAGGTACTTTGGGGCCCAAAAAATCTACTATATGGGTACTTAGACCCTTCGTAAGAGGAGGCTGGCCCCGAAAGCGGTGTTCTTAGGATCGGAATCTCACACGCGAGTGGCAGGTTGCAGGCCCGGCTGCTCCTCAACCGGGAAACGCATCCAGGCTCGGTCCGCCTTCTTGAGAATGTGGAGAGGCTATTCCGGATATATCTTTTGAGGGTCTGTAATAGTCTGAATGTAAAGGGTTCATGAAGTATTGAAAGTGTCGAGATGTTGGGTTCGATCTCCCCGAACTGGAGGTGTTTGGGGCCCGGACCCTCGAACCAGTCACTGCCAGTTTGGGGCCACGAACGCATCATGGTCTACGGCAAGATGATTTCCGAATTCATGGTGCCGGATGTCTACGCCAACGATCCCATCGAGGTGCGCAGGGGGGAGGGGTCGACACGAGAGAACAAGTGATTCGACAGCTTCGCTAGTTGGATCGGAATTTAAGAGCCATTGGCGCTGAGCCAACATGTTACGTCAGGTTGTGCCAGTGGCACGAGTTCGGAACACAACAGCAGCAGACTTCGATCCCTGTGGTTCATGATGATTCAGTGTGTTGTGCGCTGGCATTCTCTGAGTGTGCCCATCACCCGTCAAGCCTGCTGGTCTGTTCCAGGGCTTGTCCAAAAGGGTCACCGGAAACCCGAATCCCCGACAAAGCTGAGCAGGGAGTGTTCGGGACACAAAGTACCCATAGGCCCTAAAGTAGTTGTTTTTTGGGGTTCATATATAGAAACCTATAAGGTAATCCCAAAAGCAACTACTATGGGGCCTATGAGTGAATGCGCCGACACTTGCCAGATGTCCGTGCCGCTCAAGTTCCGGGCGGCCTTCAGAGAAGATGCGGCCAGAGCCCCAGAAAGTTTCGCGTTTTTGTTTAGTAGTTTAGCATTCTGCCTAAAGCAATACAGCCCAAGCTCAAAACCGTACCATTATTGGTAGTAGTATGAGCAGCATGACCATTATTCGCACTGTGATTGTTAGCAATATCATTAGTGGTACTAGTATTACTACTTTATTGAAGCCTCCAGGACCGCCTTTGGGCTCTTTCGAGTGTCTTTCCTGCCGGTCGGTGTACTATCTCGTCAGCCAAGGATTGAAATTTAGCTAGCATGGTTAGGGTCGTCGTAACGGAGCAGCATCTTCGTCACGTTGGGACTATAAGATTGCTCTTGTTAGCGTTCATGTCATGCTTCAAGTATAACATGTTGGATTGCGGAGTATTGGCAAAGATATGTCTTTATTCCCCTCCTGGCGCTCCCTTTGAGCGCTGTTGCTCCCCTGTCTCCCCTCGTACATACCGAGTCTGACTCCATCGAATAGACTTTGATTGAAAGACCTCCTTACATGATGGAGTGCGGCTGTATGACGCAATGCATGTTAGAACATCGTGTCAAGAATCTGGTCCCTTTGTGGTTCTGGTGGCCCATGCTCGCATTGTTGCTGACCCTTCCGTTCCGTTGTGAGGGCGGATGAACATCGAGAAGAGGGATGGGATTTGTGATGCAGGCTCCAAGGTTTCGGGAGTAGGAAAACCGGGGGAGTGCGATTTCCTGTTGATTTACTTGTCAGGATTACATATCCAGGCATGTCTAAAACAGCCACCACTCTTGAGAAGTCATCTTCATGATGAGGCAGACCTCTTGAGCGACCGATTGATTGTCAAAGCCTTTGTGCCGACAGCTGCTGTCACGGTCAAAATCCAGAGAAGAATCCATGCAATCATGGAGACTCACCCAGCGCAAGAGTCGCAATGCCTCGGTTGGGAAGTTTAGACGCGCACAGACAGCGTCGTGAGAGTCGGTCGAGCCCATGAAAGCCATGACGCGTTCAGCAACCCTGGCAGCTGTTTGCTTCGTCCTCGCAGATGCGAAGACACTGGGGCACAGTTGGAGGTTTCTTGAAATTATGGATTCCTCCATGCGGGTCGTGGATGTCCTCATTTTCTGAAACTTTTTGTTGGCCGCGGAAGGGTGGACGGCGTAGGCTGGCCGAGTTTCGAGGACTTTTCGGGTGCAAGGCAAATCTTCCACCATCTTATCGCATCTTTATAGGTTTGGGCTTTTTGTTGAATTTTATGCTGGGCAATGATTATTTCAAGCAGTCTTACTATCCCTTTTCACTCTTGTTATCACTATTCTCACTATTTTTGTTAATCGACGTAGTGTAGTATTGATACGAACACTATCGTTATTGTTGCTATCGCGATCGATGACTATGACTTCTACAGTACTACAAATTATAACCTGGGGAATGACTCCTCAAAGCATCTTTCAAAGGATTCGGGATCCCTTGAGGGCCTGATCTTTACATGCAAGGAGTCGCAACTCCTTGGTCTCTGTGCAGCTCTTCGGGGAGTCCGGCTGCCCAGACACCACGGCCTTCATTGCCGGACCGCTTGCGGATGCCGAGAAGGCCGGGGCCCCGAGCGCAGCTGCTGAAAAGACCAGTTGCGTGCGCATGTTACGTGCACAAAGTGCATGCCTCTTGGCCATGTCAGCATCCATTCGCCTTCTCAGGCCATTGAGGTTTGTTCTCATATTGTGTTATTGAGTTTTCCCCTGTTACTGGTTACTCGTGCAGCTGCACAACTCATTGTTCGGTCTCAAGATCTTGTTCGACCGTCATTCGGTTAGATAAATAGCGTCACAGCTATGCAGCTTTGAGCTTCTACTGTAGTCCTAGTCGTGTCGCTGGACGGCACTGCTAGGCTCCTGGCGTCGCAGACATCATGCGCAACCTGACTGCAAGACGCTTTTTGCGAGGTTCTTGGTATCGGCATAAGGAGTACTTGATCAGATTAATTAGGGTTTATGGTGTTTTTTCGTCTTCCTCATCTTTGAAAGACCGAAATGCATTCTGACAGCAGGATTGCCACCAAATCTCCCAGAGAACTGCTCAGACGAACTGTTTCACAGCCGTTTCCGAGGATCACATTGAGTTGCTACCCTAAGCTGCTATTCCGACTACGAGGGAAAGAGCCCTCAATATTGAAAACGATAACAGGATGAACCCGAAACCAACCCAGTCAGATCGCTGAAGGATTAGATTGGACGCCCTTCGGCAACGCCTACTTTCTCACGGCCGAGTGCGGGGGAGTGCCGGCACCTGCAGGACCGCCGGGATCGTTGGTTCGGACATGTTGCGGAGCTTGCGCTGTAGGGTGCAGCGCGTGAGGAAGCCGGTCGATCAGACTCTCATGGCATTTAATGGCATCTGCGGCTAGCTGCCACGGCCTTCGGGCACAAACAGCAGCAACAAACGACATGGAGGTGGCGACTGTGACGAAGAGTCGAAGAGTCGGAAAAGAAGCACGAGGATGAGCCTGGTGAGGATGATGGTGATAGTGCTTTTCATGCTGGTGATGCTGGTGGTGGTTTTGCTGGCGGTGGTGGTGATAGTGGCAGCGGCAGTGTTTTGGTGACGGACAGTGATGGTCACAGTCGTTGCTTTTGTAGGGCGATGGTGACGATGTCGATGTTGATGTTGCTGAATGTGAATCTGGTGGTTGACATGACGATGACGACGAGAAGGATGGGGACGATCGTGATGCAGGTAATTGTTGACCTGCACATCAGAGCAGAGCATGTAGAACGCGTTGAACATAAGGCTGCTTGTGTGGTGACTGATTGGTGTTTCAGCATGTGGTTGATCTTTGAGTTTGCGCGTTTCAGCTGATTTACATCGCCCTGTTGCAGGTTGGCGAAAGTCAAACAGGGCTACGCTCTGAAATGTGCCACTTGAGGGGATCAAATCATCCAGCAGCAGAAATAAGCAGTGGAAGGCCCGAATTTAGCACGAAGGCCACTGCCATCAGTTGCATCTGTATGTCAACATATTGTCCCAACGCGCCAGTGCAGTACTTGAGCGATTCAGAGTATGCCCCCTCAGCCTTGTGTTGACAGGATGTGGCACCTCTACTTCTTGCTTGTACAATTCCACGGTCAGGGAGTGCTTCCTGGCCCATTGCGGTCTTGGAGGTGCCTTTGCTCATTGTGACGTATTGCCACTGTGGGGTATTTTCACTAGCTGCAGCTGCTGCTGCTGCTGCTACGACGACGGCGACTGCTACTAGCTTGTCTTCTATTACTGTTACTGCTACTACTAGTTCCTGCTTCTGCCGATGCTGCTTTTCTGCCAGAAAACATGTTACCTGAAGATCTGCATCGATGCATTGAGCCGGTGGTACATACCAAGGTTTCTTCAAGTTGGCTGCAGCAGGGTTCTATTCGACTTTCGACTTTTCTCGAATTGCTTGCACGTGGGGAACTGGCCACTGGCTTGGACGGCAGCTTGCGGAGCAGAACCGCAGATTGTCGTGTCATTGACCACTAGGAGACATGGTGCCTTTGTATCAAGGGGCTTCCAAAGCCCCGAGTCTCGAGCAACAGGACACCTCTAGAGAGGATGTACTGGTAACTAGTAACTAGTACACGTAAGACGGTCTACATAGCTAGCGATGGGTCAGGGGATAGGTTTCCGACTACCACAACAACGACAATAAAGTAGTTCTAGTCATCCCACTCCCAAGACGACAGGCCGCGCCGGCAGATCGAAACTGTCCGTTCAGATAATCAAAGTCGAGCAGCAGACCCGATGGTTAAGCCACAGACAGCCCACAGCGAATCGAAACGCTTGTGCAGGCTGCAACGAAACATCAACGGTTTGCAAAAGAGAGCGAGGTTCTTCACAAACTTGCCTGGCCAGTGTTGGCGGAGCTCCAGGCGTAGGGTCGCCCTCTTCGCTACACTCTCAGCAGAATTTGCTGAGCTATCACCATCACGAAAGAAGAAGCACGGTCATCATGATCAGCCCTATACCCTGCAGACCACAACCCCCATCCTCTCCGCCCTGCCAGGGCGTCCCTTTGCGGACTGCTACTCACCGGGTCATGTGCGTTGTCAGCATGGCAGCGTCGAGTGCGCGGCCAACCAGCTGGAGGCTGTCCAGGGCTTGTGTTGACGGGTATATAAGTGGTTTAGATTTGGCGGCTTCCGGCTTTCATTGGACTTTTGGTCCAGGACTATTGCAGGGCATTGCAGGGTTTCATGTACCCTCAGAACGTCGTATGACTTATCCGACTTATCCAGAGGATAACTTAACCATGAGGCGCTTTCAACCGGCGCGCTGCAGCCGAGAGAGCCCTCAGACAAAAGTTGCGGGTGGTATTGAAGCTATCTGGTGGCCTTCATGAGTTTGATGCACAGGGTATGTCTTTAGCAGGCCTGTGTGCAGCTTCTTTGTGTGGTGGTCCACGTGCACCCCGCAGCCATCATCCTGCAATGCTCACCCGAAGACAGGAGGCAGTCGCAGATAATTTTGGCTGTTTCGCAGTTGATGCAGGGGTGTTTTTCCAACAGTCGCAGTTTCATCTTAGTTTGCCAACTGCAACGACAAGAGCGATATCGTCCGGCGGTGACCCGAAGCAAGGAACACTCCGACAACCAAAGTGCCAATACCGAAGCCCAACAACGACTAGACCACAGACACAAGGTGCTCCATGAAACCCAGGTCTAATCGTTCAGGGGCTCTTAATTATATCTTATGCTGCAAAAACCGTATACCCCAACACCCTATTCTAGCTGGCCCCTGTTTGAATTTCCATCCCTAGCTGCAAGAGGCCTGTGCCAAGATGAAGGATGCGGAAAGCTCCCTGGCAGAAGTCTCGTTCAGCACGAGCACCTGACAATATCCCTAAATCCTATAAGTTTTGTGAAAGCGCGGTGCCGTATTCGGGAGGCCGCTTCAGCATATAATGCAACAATCCCGAAGAGCAGCCTCCTAAACCTGGAAGATCCTGGAAGGCACCATGGGGTCTTGCTCCTTCAGTTTATGTAAATTTAGCATGTGCTTCTAGTCCATGACTCTCATCAAACCTGCCCTGGGATGTACCAGACCTGCATTTCGTGGCCCCGGCGGATGAGTCTGAAGAGTCTTTGAGATTGTCAGAGATGGCGAACATGCCGAATCCGCAAGGGCCGTTGCATCAGCAGATAGGTCCTGGCACGTGCAGCCGCGGTGGACGTGTGGTCAGGTACAGTGACGCCACAGTCCACGTTTAACGCACTGAAACACCAAACTCCTGGAAGAAAACGGAAGTTTGCTCTGCCAACCCCGAAGTTGGTATGTCCTGCCGCCGCAACACGGAGCCGCTTCGCCAAATGAAGTGTGGTGATAATCACAGCTGCCACCATCATAGAGCCAAGTGGCTGGACATGGGCAGAAGCCTAAAACGTGTCCGGAACAACGGGCTGCTTCGTTCTGTGGCCGGGGGGCCCCCGGGAAGGGGGAAGGGACAATGGCATGACAATGGTGGCAAGCAGTGCTCGTACCAACAACACGAACAGCGGCCGCAATGACTGTTACAGCTTTCAAGAGTGATAGCAGCCACGGTCATTATATATATATATATATACACGGAGGTTCATGCTTTAACTTTTGCTGAGCTAAGGTTACTGGCCCATCTCAAGGTGCATAGAGATGGCATTCTTCACTGGAAAGCTGCGCACGGGCTCTTCCAGCCCTGAGGAGGTCCATGATGTGACTTGGTTTGAAGGTGCAGGGCTTGGGTTTGTCAGGATTACGGGTTCCTGTTCAGGGTTGTGAGTTCGGTGTAAGCTGCAACCTTGGGATTCAGAGTTTGCTGGGAGGGTTGCGAAATTGATCTAGATGATTCCTTCAGCCCCGCTGCTGCAAAGGGCAGCAGGCAGAAAACAAGGACAACTATGATGAATACGACCATGGTGCTAATGATGACGGAGAGGATATTGATGATGATGACGATGATGATGGTGATGGTGATGTTGATGGTGATGATTGTTTGACTGATGAAGATATTGATCATGACCATGACCGACGACGACAATCTTCACGCTGATGCTGATGGAGATGACAACGACGACGAGGGCCAACCAATCATACGGATCATTTGCCATCATCATTATCGCCGTGGCCACTATCTCTCAGTACTTGTCGACATCGCCGCCATCTTCCTTGGCGTCCTCTGAACGATGGGCATTGCCTCATTAAGGTCGTGATCACCACTACGATGGCCTTCGCCACTTCGAGCACCATAACAGTAATTATTCTGTCACAGCATGACGACAGTGGTGTTGTTTGATGATGATGACGATGACAAGCTGTATGATCCGCGCAAGTCCTAGCATTTTACTCACTGTATTTCATGATTATGTGACCACTCGTCCTTCCGTGCCGTTGCAATTGCTACTTACTGCTTTTTGGCGCGCCCTAAACCCTCCACCCTAAAGTTATAAGACCCCGAACCCCCAAAACCATAGGAAAGGAAGCCTTTCACCCCAAGAGTTTTTGAAGGTCGCTGCGAGCTGCGGCCTAGCGGCTGAGACCTTCGACTTCTGTGCCTCACAGGGCCATGAGGCCGTCGTTGCCATGGCAAAGTCCACACCTCCTCATCCAGGCCGGGGCAGCTGATATAGGGCCCTCAATAATTAGAACGGGGTCTTGGGGGGTGCATTGTACTATAGCCTGTACAAAGGAAACAAAAACAATATATGGTAATTACTTAGGTACCTTAATTACACTACTTTTCAAATAGCTCTAGGACGAAGTATGTCCCTTTTTGTTTATACTGTCGGTGCTTGTCTTTTTGCGTGTGGTTGTGTGTGTGCGTGTCTCTCTCTCTCTCTCTGTGTTTGTTTGTGTGTGTCTTTGTGTTTGCGTTTGTGCTTGCGTTGGTGTGGTGGTTCAGGTACAGACGGTGTTGTGTCTGTTACAGGTGCTTATGCATTGGTTTTGTTGTGTTGCTGTTGCCTGTGCTGCGATCAACACTCTTAGTCATACACTTGTTATTGTTATGTGCAGCTAGGTTGTTTGGCAGTGTGCTTCTATTATTGTAGCAGATTCATCTACTCATGAACTGAATATCTATCAGTCATACTGCCTCTTAGGGTTCCCGATTTGGGCTTTTCAACAGTTAAAGGCACCTGTTGCACGCGTATCTTATCATTGATGCCATACGTGGTTGTGTTTGTTGCATCTCTGAGTCTGCACCTACACATCTCTGCATTTGCATCTCGACCTGTTCCTCCGTTCATACAGCTGTGCCCTTCTCTTTCTGCTGTTGTTTTTCTGCTCTCTCCGTCTCTCTCTCTCTCTCTCCTCTCTCTCTCCTCTCTCTCTCTCTCTCTCTCTTTCTCTCACACTCGCTGTCCCTTGCTCTCTCTCTCTCTCTCTCTCCGTCTCAGCCTTCTCTCTCGCTATTCCCCGCCCGGTTCCGCCATCCGCCTATGTACAGCAACTCATCCATCGTCCATGCATCCATGCAGATAACATGAGACACGCACTGGGATAGCAAAACCCGCCGCGACATCCGAAATCAGGCTCGGGCTGCCAATCCTTGGCTTCGGTAGCAGCATGACATACTGCCCTGTCACCCGGCAGTCTTGTCATGATCTTAAAGCAGGTGTTCCGTATGTGTTGGTGAACGGCGTGGCTCTGTCTGAGACCAAAGACTTGCTGAAGAAGATCTGCGAGGCTTATGAAGGAGCGGAGCCTTTGTCATGTCTGGGGTGCTTTGTACATTCTTCTTGCGCTGCACTGTGAACCACAACCTACGGCAGAAGTCAAAGCGGAGCGAGAGTGAATGAAGCCAGCTGATGTACACCGTTGTAAGCTCCGGAACTCCAACTGACCAGGAGACAAGCCCGCTGGCTGTCTTGAGCACAGAAAGGCCGCAAAGGTACTCCTATGAAAGCTCTTGATTGGTCATAGAACAACCAGAGCGATGCCAGTTTGCTGCATCTCAGTAGTGCGACTCCAAGCGTCTTTTGCTGCCAATTCTACGGCTCCGGTCATCGTGGTATTCCTACCTTTGCTACTCTCAAATGCCCATGCCGTGGCACCGTGGCAGACGTAATGATGTCCATAAGGTAGTGACACGAGTCGCATACCGATATCTACAATTTCCATACCTATCGATACCAGACCCGATACAAACTTAGCCACCAGACTACCCATAGACCCTAAAGTAGTTCCTTTTTTGGGTTCATTTTTAGAATCCTCTAAGGTAATCCCAAAAAGGAACTACTATGGGGCCTATGGGTATACCCCAAATCCCAAGCCCCGGACGCAGAGAGCACTGCACAGCAAACCCTAAACCCTAAACCCTAAACCCTAAACCGAAAGCCCCGGCTTTCTCGGAGCTGCGCCTTGAGCCGGTGCTCAAAAAGAAGGGAACGGGACCAGGGCTTTTGGGACCTTTTCTACCCCATAGGCCCCATAGTAGTTCCTTTTTGGGAAATTACCTTATAGGATTCTATATATGAGCCCCAAAAAGGAACTACTTTAGGGCCTATGGGTATTCGTGTGAGAACATAGCAGATTCTAGGCCGCTGTAGCTCAGACGCCGGTGGATGACGCTGTGCAGTCTGGAGGTTTCCATGTGATGCTTTCGGTTCCGGATTTGGCAGATGTCTGTCAAAGAGTTTTTAGGGGACCTTATTTTGGGGGTCCTTATAATAAGGATCCTACTATTTGGAGTACTATTGAGGTTTCACGCAAGTTCCAAGGAAAGGTGTCGACATCTGAGAGCAATCGCAGTGCAGCACTCCAAGCCCTGGCCGGGAAACCGCAGGTTGGAAGCCTTCAGTGAACCCTGTGCACCAAGCTACTTCGGCTCCCCAAATCCTGAGTCACTACACGCTTGGACCTGTGTGCGATGGCTTCTTGGAGATCGCACAATCCGACGCCCTTGCAACGATAAGCTGCATCCTGAGGTGCAGCCAGAAGATGCCAAGCAGATTCAACTCGTGAACGCAGGTCACGAGGAATGTCGATCGCCTGTGGTTCTGAAGCTGCCTGCGTCACAACATGGGAGAAGCTCGGGGCGAATCTACGGAACCTGCAGATCTGCAGCGCATGTGTTTGTTTGAGTAGTGGCTGGACGTCGTGCCAAGCCTTTCCGAAGCGATCAAAGCTCACTGGCGATGGCGGCACTTTTGCTATACAAAAATGCGTTCAGGAAACTCCATGAAGTGGACAATGCTGGCTTTATGCCTCTGCACCCTGCTGTGCTGTGTGCTGAACCACAGTTGTGGTCAGTCGTGCTCGAACAGCATGCAGACTCGACAAGAACAACGCGGAAAGGGCAGCAAGTGCTCAGATTTGCGGGGCATTCATCGGCACTTGTGACATTGTGCTCGCACCGCAAAATGCATGCACAATGATGCTGCTCGAATACGCATTGAAGTCAACGCCATGGCTCAATGCCGTTTGTTGTCGGCAGATGGCATGTTGCATATTCTTCTGGCCCATGCCTCTCCTGAACTGGTCTTCTTCGCAAGACTCTCGGGCTTAAAATTGGCCCGGCATTATCCACGAGGTGCGTTTCGCCACCGGAAGATCCCTTTTGAACCGAGATCAGCTGTTCGACAAGAATGCCTTAGCAAAAGCAGCTATGTCACATACGGCTCTTCAACAGAATTACCTTTTTTGCGGCACGGCACCGACGGGGCTCCGAAGTATCGGCGAGGCAGTGCATCGAAATGGGCGCGAATCTCGATGGAGTTGATTTGCATAGTCAGATACCTCTGCTTTGGGCTGCAGCGCCCGGCAACATGGTGATCGTCAAGTTTCTTCTGAATCCAGACTTTGAGGTGAACGTTAGGGACAAGGCCAGGAAGACCGCTCTTTTCTTCGCTATCGATAACGGTCACCTGGACGTGGCCGACTACCCAGTCGTTGCTTAAAGAAAATTTCTTTGAGCATGGACTGGGGCGTCTTGTTGTTGCTCGACCGAATTAACGAAAAGAATCACAAGCCGCCGGGGAGAAAAAGGAAATGGGCTTCGCCAACCCCGACTTTCGTTTGTCCTTGCGCAGAAGCACGGAGCCGTTTCGCCCAGGCGAAACGGCTCCGTGCTTCTCCGGGGCCAGGAAGGAGGAGTCCGAGCCCATCGTTGGTTGTAAAGAAGAGGACAACGTGCTCGTGGAAGATTCGCGGCATCTCAGTGGAAAAGTTAGTATGGATATTACATGTAAACGCTACGCGAACCCGCAAGAACAAGAAACTTTACGATCACCATGCATCTGGGCTTTGAAGTGAGTTACAAAGATCACCTCGGGAAGCCTACGCTTTTCTTGGCCGGAAAGGCCTCAGGGACAGACGTGGCCGACTATCTGAACGGGCAGCCTCGGTGGAACGTGCGGTCAATATGACGCCGCGGTCCATGCTCAAAGCCTCGAATCACCAAACTCGTGAAGAGACGAAGATGAGCTTTGCCAGTCACGGCAAGTGCTGTACAGTATACACTATGCAGCTTTCAGCAGCAGAGGGACATCTTTCAAAGCAGGCTGCGATCCAATGAAGCGGAAGGAGCTTCGTGGCCACCTTGCAACCCTCCATGCGAGGCGGACTCGACAGACATCTTCGAACGAATTCTTCAGTTCAGGCCTTTCTGCTGCGTCCAGTCACCTCGGTCCGGCTCGAGGCCCGCGCGGGCTGGCGTCGATGAGCTCGGTTTGCAAGGCATCTATTGTTCAGAGCCATGTTCAATCTCTGGAGCTGATGGTCATCGACTTGGACTTAAACACTTCTGCCGCGCCTATGCTGTGATGGCTATCGCTCAAGAGACGGAACTACCAGACTGCCCTTGTTGTGCTCCTCCGTGCAGGCGCTTGCATAGACCTCCGCCCTGCAGGGCTTTGGCAGCAGGTCTTGACAGCTGCCATGCAAGCTGGAAACTAGAAGATGCCGTGTCATCAACACTCAACATTCATCAACATCCTCAGCTTTTTCAGGAAAAGGATCCGTCCCCGCAGTTTTGAGTGATCTGCGCGTGGCATCAGAAAAAGACAGACCTCTCGCCGTCTGCCAGCGAGGAATCGGCTTCCGAGTGGCTCTGAGCGTTGCCTTCACTGGGGCTTTCCGGGCTCAACTCGGGTGGTCTGCCAGCTGTTTGCCAAGGATCCGTACCACCCAACCGGAGAAGCAGCCTGGAACAAAGAGCTTGAAAGGCTCGGCACTGCCAGGGTGAGGGATGATGGCTTCATGGTACTGACACTGCCAGGAGGGGCCTCAAATCGGAGATTCGTGAAGGCAAAGTCTTCGAGGAGTTGTTGAGGAGCCCATGGCATGATGTCACATCATGCTTTACGTTGGGAACAGCACCGCCGTGGAGTGCCATGCCTTGCGCAGCTTCATGTCAAGCCGAACTCTTGGAAGAACCCCAAATGCCCTAAATCCCGAACTCTAAACGACTCTAAACCCTGAACCCTAAACCCGAACGCAGGGGCTGTCAAAAGCATCTGCTCCCATCTGCAGGAGGCAGGGCGATGCCAAGATGGATGCCGCGAACTCGGGATCGGCCCCTCCGGGCATTCCCAAAGCATAAGGAAGCCTGAGTGATTACCAATATTACTCCTGACTATTTCTCCGTATCAACACTGCTTCTGACTCTTTATTAGATATTAATGGTATTCCCTAGGCTCCTGATTATGATGTTTTTGTTATGTAGTTGTATTGCACGGCACACTATAGGCAGATTGAGACGCACCCGCATCTGCAAACACAAATAGACGGATAAAGAGTTATTAATAACTGCTGTTCTTACAAGGTTCATGTACCTGTTGACTGCTGCCTGTTGATATGTGAGTGTTCTTGTTATTCTGTTTTTCTGTTCGCTCGTTCATGTGATTTGTCATCATGTCGTTTTGTGTGTGTCTGCGTGCTCGCGCACACACACACACACACTCAGAGTTAGAGGGTGCAAGGCAGACTAGACAGACGGAAGACTCAAACGGCTGCAGCAAAGCACTGCTACATGTAGTTGCTAGGCGCAGCGCAGTCCACGCATGTCGTTTGGAATTTGTCTGTCACCTGAATTACTGTTTTTGCATGTTTTAGCTTGAAGTCACCTCTCGGTGTTTTGGACATGAGTGTTGATGGTTGATAGTTCTTAGTTGCTCTCGCTCCGCTGAGGTGGCCGAGAACATGTTCACGGAGGCTGGGGCAGCTCCGTGTGATTCGGAGAGATCGCACAGTCTGTCACCACAAAGGCGATCCTGGACAACGTCGTGGATTTGGGTGAGCTGGTGCTGCAGTTCTACGCCCTTTATGTTGACAGGCGCTTCATTCGCTTGCATGGGGCGTTCCCAGGATTTCCCAGGCATAGGGGCTGCGTAATACAAGATGCAGGTTTTGCGGCATGACTAGTCCTTGCGGTCACCCAGCGGTCCATGGCAGCATCTGGAGGCAGCCGGTCAATGGTGATGCTGACAACTCCAAGGTACCGAGGCAGGATGTGGGGATCCTGGTGGGACTGTCTTGCCCAAAGCGGTGTAGCCACTCCTTGGCCTGCCAAGCAGTCTCCAAGGCGACATTAAGGCTTGGTAAGACAAGCCTCAGAGCCTCCAACAGCACAACGCTGCCCGTGCTGCATCGCATCCTGGCATCTTAATTTACTAAGGTAATGGTGCTTCAATATAATCTCATACTCTGACAGTCTGAGAGGGAGGATCGTTCGGAACAGCACCTAGACCTAGACCTAGATCCGATAAAATCCGTACAAACCCTTTGCTAAACCCTAAACCCTAAACCCTAAACCCTAAACCTTTGCTATACCAACACTCCCGAGCCCTTGGCCCTCTGTCTTCTGACAGCAGGCGACTGAGGAAGCGCATGAACAAGGAGAATTGACTGTTTAGGGTTTAGGGTTTAGGGTTTATTGACTGTTTAGGGTTACATTCTAGGGCTTGCTGCGAATGTAGCCGCGTAAGAAGTAGCTATACCATTCCGAATCTCTCACAGTCCTGCATAGTTATACTGGTCCTTCTATACCTGCATACGACTAGAGTTTTCAATGTTTCGGATTGCCCGGCTGCGATTATCGATGATCGTGACTGGAGTTGTGGTTCTTGTCTGTCCGGCTTTGCAGGACTCTTGCAGCTACTACCGTTATGAGCACTAGCGACTCGTATTGGTACAGTTGTTGCCGTCGCCACTTCGGTTTCAACTAGCATTGCCATCATGGTGCACGAACGGAGTCGTGGACCGAGGGTTTGCAGGTGCTACGAGCAGGGGCCCAGAGAGTTTCTTGTCGAAAAGGAAGACCAACATGGAAGCGGGAAGAATTGCCAAGCTTATTGTTTCGGGCGCCCTACTAGAAAACGCGGACTAGTCGGCCCCTATATGAACTGACTCGCACTCGTCTTGTCGTTTTTTGCCAGTCCCAGGCCCCAAGACTGATTGACACTGCCAGCGCGCCGCTTCAGCATGCAAAGCCCTGGCCTCGTGAGGACTATGGCTTGGATGCCTCCTTCGACATGAAGGAACCCGAGCTTCGGGGTTTCGGGTGTAGGGTTTTCAGTTTTAGGCTGGTGTCGGCAAGAGTCGGATGTTGGATGTTGAGGTTTTAAGAGCTCATGAGCAAGATCCAGCCTCATCGCTTGTTCCTAACTCCTGCACCCTCATCTGAAAGCCCATATCCTCAACCCTAGGCCCCCTAAGCCCTAAACCCCCAAGGCCTCAACCCGAAACCGCCTTGTTTCTCTCGCGTGAGGATGAGCTCATTGCCTCGAAGGACAAGCCCAGTGCTCAGGCCCCGCATCAAGTTTTTGATTTATCATGGGGTTTAGTTTCTACTATAGGGGTTAGAGTTTACTATCGGGGTCGGAATAATCACGGCTACTATCCCTCAGGATGTTTTCTAATTGTCAAGACCCTAGAAGTTTGCACCCTGTTTTGGTGGATGGTCTGTTTTACTGTTCAAGTTAAAATGGCAACCAACTACAAGGTGAGTTCGGTTTCAGGGCCTGGGTTTCGTGTCTAGGGCTCAGCTGTAGGATTAAGGCCTGCGGTTTTGGGATTTGGGGTTTCAGGGTTGATGAACGTTTACGTGGGCCTCGTCTGTCAGACGGTTGAGGTTCTGTCTCATGTAGACGGTCTGGGACTTTTCCCTTCCGAGCTAAAATCTCCTTCATTGCCCGCTTTAGGGTTTAGGGTCTATAGGGATATACCAACCCAACACAGACCCCTCTGTAGTTGCGCAGGCCATCCAGGACTTCGCCGGCAGCCTGAGCGCGATGCAAACGCATCGTCCTCGGCTTGAAACCCTGTGCCATTTAAAGGCAGGCCCTAGGAAATGGAGCTTCGTTCCTGCTTGTGAAATGGCCCCACACTCCTCTTTCTGGGACCTCGCATGAGAAGGACCTGCAAGACTGTCAGAGTCTGGCTGGGGCTGGGGTTTTGCTTTAGTTTCACAACCCTTTTCACATAGATTCCCTTGCTACTCAAAAAACAAGCCCCCTCATGTTGGGAGGATTGAGCAAATCCGGGAACAGTAGGGGTACCAGCGGCATGTTTCAAGGTGAGACTGATGGTAGAAGGTCACCGAGCCGGGACAAAATGATCAAAAGCCAAAAGGTGTTCGAGGGGAGAACCCTAACCCGGACGGAACCATGTTTCGGAAGGAGTCGTGCTTTGAAGCCCCCTGCTGAGAGCGAGTCGTGCATCATCTTGCATCGTTGGTACAAGCGCCGCCACCTAAACAGAAGGCTTCAGTAGAGCCGCATGCTCGGGGATCAGACATTGTTCTACCCGAAGTATTTGCAGATAGGTGGTCCGACAATGCCATGTAGCGTAAGCCGCACGAATCTTAAACTGCTTAAACCTGGCCCAAGCCACCCAGCCGATCGGATCCCAGCCTCACCTACCCTAATCTCTGTTTTCATCGCACGGCAAGCCTCACCCACATTCCGCCCGGAGGTTGAGCCCTCGCTTCAAGTTCAAGCGAAATTGATCAGCGGCTCAACAAAAGAGCCGGAGTGTTCTGCATGTTGTGCCCATGTGCAGACGGAAAAGACTTGATTTAGCCGAGCGTAGGCACTCTGTCGTGCTCCCTGAGAAACTGAGTACAGGTGCCCTTGGCCGGCAGTGGCACTGGCATCTTTTTGTTGCTTGAGTTCGATGCAGATGCATATAATTCTAAGTACAACAAGGGAAGCAGTCTCTTCCTCTCAACATTGAAAGGACCCGGACCCCAACTGCACACCCCTACATACATACATCATACATACATACATACATACATACATACATACCTACCTACATACATGCATAAAGTTACGAAGATATGCACCTGTATAAGTATATAACCACATGATCATTGAATCTGCACGGTGAAGAATTGTCAGCCTCCTTCTGAGACAGAGCAAGGGAGAGCTTGATACAGCTAAGGTAATTACTATCAGCTCCCTATCTTTCAGCCCTGAAGTGACCCCTTACTGTACCCACTAATAGGCCGCAGTTGTACTGTAGTCTTGCCTAATTCAAGATTCGTCTCTGAGTGTATTCTCGGGCACATTCTCGGCGCAAGGGAAGCCCGACAACTAGCGTGACAGCTTTCACAGGGGTGTTCCGGTCGGCTTTGAGATGGAGACGATAGTTCATGTCAAAGCCCCATGGCACGGATAGTGTTGCATGATTTCTGCCGCACCACGTGGCTCTGAGACATTTTTGGTCGGGTGCGGGGTGCCACGCTCGGCGTTTGTAATCACGGCCGCTCTCCCAGCCTGCTTTTGCTAAGCTGCTATACTGTCGACGGTGAGGACGACGATGATTCCGACTTTGACGATGACGCTGATGATGATGGCCGATATTGGACATGCCATTTTGGTATGCGACGGACATGGTCGCGATAATGCTGAGGATGATGACGGTAATGATGATCACGACTGTCAGTTTCATGACGCTGGTGATGTCGGAGTTGATAGATAGCTCTACAGGAGCTGCTGTTCACCCAGCTTCAGCATTTGCTCGTTTGACAGGGCTTGACGGTGACGCTTCTGCTTGTTCAGCGTAGTCAGGTTTAGGCAGATGGCATGCTGCATGTTCTTCTGGCCCATGTCTCTCCTCACCTGGTCTTCTTCGCAAGATGCTCGGGCTCAAAATTGGCCCAGCACGAAGCAAGAGGTGCGTTTCGTCGCATTGACTGAGCAAGCCGAAGTGCCTATTGCTAGCCGAGACCGGCTTTTCGAAATTGTGCGAGACGGCGAGTACGCAGAAGCCAAGAAAGTCATATCAACAGCAGATATGTCATGGCGCCACACGGATCTGCAGCAAAATTGTTTTTTTATCGCGACACGACGCCGTCGAGGCTCAGAACTCTTGGCAAAGCAATGCGTAGCAAGGGGCGTGAATTTACAGGAGGAGGATGTCTATGGACAGACACCTCTTTTCTGGGCCGCATCGCGTGGCAACATGGCAGTTGTGAAATTTCTGCTTGGCTTTGGATTTGAGATTAATTGCAGAGATAATGCCAGAAAGACAGCGCTCTTTTTCGCAATCGAGATTCTCGATTGCGAAAAAGAGAGCGCTGTCTTTCTGGCATTGTCTCTGTAATTAATCTCAAATCCAAAGCCAAGCAGAAATTTCACGACTGTCATGAAAGGTCACCTGGACGTGGCCGACTACCTGATCGAGCGTGCTGCCTCGATTTGGGTCCGTTCAAATATTAATAAGACACCGCACTCTATGCTTAAAGTGGGAATGGGGTTATGACGAGGCGGAGCCGCAGATAGACAGAAGGGAGGACAACGTGCTCGTTGAAACCCAGCAGTATCTCGGTAGGCAACTTAGTATGGACATCAACTTGCAAACGGGGGCACTATGAATAGTCATACAGTGTGATATGTATGCAGGTGCGTTGTCATGCGTGTGATCATGGGACTGCAAACATGCTGCGTTGATATAAGATTAGCTTCTTCGGGGTTGTGAGGAGGGCAACGAAGGTTTCATGGTTGTAAGCGTTCTGGGTTTGAATTGCAAGTTCGCCTGATTTTTTTGCCGAACTATTGAGGTACTTTGCCTGCTCCGCGGTGACAGACACAGACTGTGCCAAACGCCTGAGGCGCTCAGAGCTTGAGTTCGCGGGGGACCACGCGCATCTGCACCAAGGCACCACGTGGTACCCCCGGGTGACTACACAGCAAGCTGCCGCTCTAGTCAACGTGCGAATGGATGACGAGAAAGAACATTTGAAAGTGATTGAGCAGTTAGCAAGTGGCTCTCGCCCATCTGCCTTCACTCTCCCAGCGGTCTCTACACAGACCAAGACGCTGGCTGGCTACGTGCATGCATCTGTCGAGGACAAGACGTTGAAGATTGCCCACTGCAAGGTGGACCGGCCTCATCAGCGAAGAGGCCTGGGCGGTTTGCTGCTGGAAGCTGCCGAGAAGCGCGCTCGGAATCTGGGCGCTTGCATCTCGAAAGTTAGATTATCTGTGTTGGAGACAAACGAACCGGCCCGAAAGTGCTATGCTAAGTCGGGCTTCAAGGTTTATGCCAAATCGTCATCAAAGTTTCTGCCGTGCAACTGTAGTGATGGCGGCTGCAACTGTGACAACAAGATCAGTTGGCTGAAAATGGAGAAGCACATCGCCTGAGAGCGTGCCGGGCAAAACATGCTGCTTATGACTGGGGCTAGAACGCCCACGCACGCACGCACGCACCCACGACTTGAAACTGCCAGCGCTTCAATATGCGATGTGTTTGACTCGTCAGGACCATGGCTTGGATGCCTCCTCCGACACGAAGGAGCTCGGGCTTCTGGGTTGAGGGTTTAGGGTGTTTAGGGTGGTGTCAGCAGATGCCGTATGTTCGAACTTACAG